AAAAAAGCAAAAAAAAAAAAAAAAAAAAAAAAAAAAAAAAAAAAAAAAAAACCGATCTTAAATATTGCAGAAATAAACAAACGGAATAGAGAAAAGTTGCTCCATCAACAAACGAAAAAGAGGAAAAAAAACACTCAATCTGAGTGCAAAGAAAAAATATATATATATATAGATGGTTGCAGAAAGAAACGAACGGAAGAGAAAAAAATGGCTCCAGAAATGAAGAAAGAGAGATAATATCCAGAAGGTTGTAGGATGACACAAATGAAAAACGCAAAAACAAATCCACTCAGTCTGAGTGGAAATGACCCAAACGGTCATAACAAACCAAAACACAATAAACTGACCTAAAGGGCAAAATAGTAATTTAACGTAAAAAGGACATAACGGAAATTAAAAAAACATCTGAACAAATATGTAGGGTAAAAAGGGAAGGACACTGTTCATAGTACTGTAGCATAAACAATAAATCCGTCATCTCTTTTAGGGGGCATTTGGTATGGAGTAATCATAAGAAATCATATTCTTAGGAAAGTGATGGAGGGTAATATGAGTCTTAAGAATAATACATTATTGTGTTTAGTTTCCATACAGAAGGTTGTAGGATGACACAAATGAAAAACGCAAAAACAAATCCACTCAGTCTGAGTGGAAATGACCCAAACGGTCATAACAAACCAAAACACAATAAACTGACCTAAAGGGCAAAATAGTAATTTAACGTAAAAAGGACATAACGGAAATTAAAAAAACATCTGAACAAATCTGTAGGGTAAAAAGGGAAGGACACTGTTCATAGTACTGTAGCATAAACAATAAATCCGTCATCTCCTTTAGGGGGCATTTGGTATGAAGTAATCATAAGAAATCATATTCTTAGGAAAGTGATGGAGAGTAATATGAGTCTTAGGAATAATACATTATTGTGTTTGGTTTCCATACAAGAATCTTTTTCAAATTCCTAAAAATATTACATTACTGTATTTGGTCGTGCATAGGAATGTTGTGAATTAAAAAATATTTTTTTAAATGAATAATAATAATAATAATAATAATAATTTTATTATTATTATAATTATTATTGTTATTATTATTATAATTATAATTATAATTATAATAATAATAATTATTATTATTATTATTAAATCATGGCTTCAATAATGTCTCAAAAGTAGAAACAGTCATGACC